CTGATTTTTAAATTTTATGTTTCCCATATTATATGGGGAAAAGTCATAATTCTGAGAAAAAAGTCATAATTCTGAGATTAGAGTTAGAATTATGAGATTAAAATCAGAATTGTGAGATAACAGTCAAAATTCTGAGATCAAAGTCAGAATTCTGAGATTAAAGTCAGAATTCTGATAAGATGACCATATTAAACTGAAATAATATTCAAAAAACTTTTTCAGTGTAATTCAGTGTTTTCAATGGCCCCAATCCTCTTCCATATCAATCAATCAATCAATCAATCTTTATTCCAGACCCAAAAAAGGTCCATAGAGAAAAAGAAAAAAAGGTTAACAATATATATATATGTAAAAAAAGAGAAAAATTAAAAAAAATAATTTTATGAAAGTAAACGTATAAATAATATTATTTTCTCTTATATGTATTTTGTGCCATTAAAAACTTTTAAAAAACGTTTAATGACAGTCAAAACCATATTTTAAAAACACGTTCTTTTTTTTAATGTGTCGTTTCTTTTATGTTTTTAATGTGTCACTCGAGTCTCTCCGTAGCTCCTGTGAGGAAAGCGGTGCCACACCGGAAGTGTTTGCCTAACAGTTAAAAGCCACTTGACAAAGGCTAACTGAGGTTAGCCTTCAGCCCGGTTCCGTCATTCTGTTGGGATGGAGGTTACACGCCAAAGTAAGCGGACAGTCTGGCTTTTGTTATAGTGAAATACTTACCTTTTAAATTATAGAAAGGGTCGAAGCAGCTGAAGTAGAACGATGATACAAGTGTTCAATGGCTAAAACCGAAAACGCAACATATTTTCTACTTGTGGCTAGCATGCTAAGTAGCATCATCGCCTAAATGTGCTCATCTGCTTGTTAACGGTACGCTGCGTTTTTTCTTTATCTTGACCCTCTTTGTGTTTCTCCAGATTTTAAAGAGTGCTTAAGCACGGTGTACAGCGCCATAGACGAGGCTGACTTTCTCGCCATCGATGGAGAATTTTCAGGTAACTGTCGGTGGATTTCCATGTTGAAGTGTGATTTAAAGGAGCCATCACGATCTGGGTGAAGCTACGTTTTGTTTAATTTATTTATATATATTTTTTGCAGGTATAAGCGACGGTCCAAATGTCAGTGCACTAACAAACGGCCTGGACACACCTGAAGAGAGATACACGAAGCTCAAAAAGGTTTGTAAAACCCTCTGCCTCCTCACAAATGAAGATATTTCTATAGAAGACACGTCTGTTTGACATTGCTGCTGTTTTATCTAACAGCATTCAATGGACTTTCTGATGTTCCAGTTTGGATTGTGCACATTTAAATACGACCAGGAAAAGTCAAAGTAAGTGACATCTTCTGCATAAACAGAGCAGATCTGCAGCAGATTATGGGGAAATCTTCTAAACGTGCAGAGCCTTCCATGCATTGGTGCACATGGGTGCAATATATAAACCTTTGTATTGAAGGTTGTGGAGTAGAATTATAAAAAGTCATGAGGGGATTTCTTTTTTATTTTCTTCCTCAGAAACTAATGAAGCTGCTCATTTGCATCCCAAATGTTAGAATATTAATATGTACTCCAATGGACAGTCATTAAAGGAAAAGTCCGGTTAGCAAGGAATAATCAATGGGTCATTATACCTAAAATTATTTAGTTTGCGTTTATCTAATTAATTTATTATTGATTTGTAAAAAAAATAAAAACAATTTTCATTGCGACATGAGTCAGGGCCATATTTTCCCAAATATAGTAACGACTCACTCCTGACATATCCCGGCAGTGAGATTGCTGTGCGGTAAGCCTAGCGCCATTCTGCCCGCTTTACAAGAAAAATCAATGGGAGCTACTAGACACCCCTACGAAGATGAATGTTTTCAAGAGGACTTGTTTAATAGCGCATTGTGACAAACACCCGATACAGGACTAGGACTTGCTCAACAGCCGATACTGCACTGTGATGTCACTAACCAATAGGTGGCAGTAGTGTTCTTTGACAAGCATGAATGTCTCCAGTAAAGCACATTCAAATGAAAATTACTCTTAATTAAAAACGCTTATTTATTTAACAGTATTTAATAATTTCATATTTAAAGTACTTTGAAAAGTTTGAATTCTGAATATGACCGGACTTTTCCTTTAAGATATTGAGTCATTTACCCTCATATTCTATGTATGTATGAACATCTTAACACCGGGACTAATTGTTTTTTGTTTTTCTGTTCCACTTTTGACCTCTTTCTGCAGGTATATTATAAAGCCTTTTAACTTTTATGTTTTCCCGAAACCATTCAGTAGGACATCTCCTGATATAAAGTTTATCTGTCAAGTAAGTGTGGCTTTTCTATTGTCAGGGCCATGTTACTGGCTAATGGCAATTCTTAACAATAGTCATTCATTTTGAACTAAACAAAATAACACCTTGTCTTCTTTGGTATTTCAGAGTTCCAGCATTGACTTTCTGGCAAGTCAGGGATTTGACTTCAACAAGGTGTTTGGTCATGGTAAGAATGGCACCCAAACACTAAATATAAAATAAAGATCCTTGTCTGTAAAACTGCAATAATGAATTTTTTTGGACTGGACAGTCTTTAATTAATAATATGGTTTCACCCGCAGAAATGTTTGTATGATTTTACTAAATAATACTCTGCTGGGTGTTGTAGGATTTGCTCCTGCTGCTGGTCTTTATAAGGACTCTGTATGTCTCATTTAAATTTCACGTTGTAGGTGCCTTGTTTGCCAGAATTCAATAATTATTTAGCATTCATGGCCCCCTTGGTTCATGCTTTTGTTCCCCGAAACATTATAAAATCCAAGCCGAGACGAAATCCTTCTAAACTGAAAATTGGACTCTGTGTATTCAGCTGGGTCATTTGAACCCAGCAGAATGATGGAACCAAAATGTAAACTTTTCATTTCATTTTCACTCTCTGAAACCTCTTTGATTTCACCTTTTGGAAGTGATGTATAGAAGTCAGATTTTTTTTTATTTTTTTTTCAAAAGGCTAAAGTCCCTCAAATGTATCAAGCTGGTGTCGTACTGCAGATTTCATCTTGATAACACAGAATCATTTTTAGAAGATGATCACTGTTACTGATTAAGACTATTAAGCAAATGCTTACTGTGCAGTGTTAAATACATGTGATTTTTATTTTAAGGAATTCCATATCTAAATCAAGAGGAGGAAGCTCAGCTGAGAGAGCAGACAGAGGAAAGGAGAAACCAGCATGCTAATGGTCTCGGGACGCCGTCCTTTATCTCTCCATCATCCAAAGGCCCTGCACATGTACCCGATGAACAGAAAGACTTCATCAACAAAGTGGTGTAAGTAGAGCTGACCTGTATATTATTATATTGATATGACTGTAACCTATATTTCTATTGTAGTGTTGGTAAAATACTCTTTGAAATTTTATATTTGCTTTTATAGCTTAGCAATTAGATGTTCATTTTGTTAGAGGTATTCTCACCCTAGATCATCATGTTAAAGGAAAAGTCTGGTCAACAAGGAATGATCAATAGATCATTATCTATACCTAAAACTAATGATTTTATGGTTAATCAATGGAAAAAAATGAAAAATAATTTTCATCTCAATCATTCAGTCTGGGACCGGCCATTTTTGCCCCAATATAGTAACAGCTCACTCCTGACATCTTCCGACAGTGACATCACGGTGCTGTAAGTCTAGCACCATTCTCCCTGCTTTACAAGCAAAATCAATGGGAACTACTAGACACATCTGCAATCAACAACAATTAAGATTTGGAGAGGACTGCAACATTGAAATTCGCTAGAGCTATAGTTAAACTGACAATACCCACATGCCTGGCAGTTGGAAGTTGTAATACATCGAGTAGAAGTGGAAAAAAAAATAGATTTAATTTTCTTTCCGATTCATGATCCTCCACGGACGGGTTCGTTGTTGGATTACCAACTTGAAGAGGAAGGATTTGCTACTTAACTTCTGGCCAGAGAAAAAACACGTATGTAGCCAACATTTCGAAGAACGTTTTCAAGAGGACTTGGAAAATGGCGCGTTGTGACAAACACCAGATACAGCACTGGGGCTTGATCAAAAGCCGATACCGCACCGCGACGTCACAAACTGGTAGAAGGCAGCAGTGCTGTTTGACAAACATGGATGTCTCCAGTGAAGCCCATTCAAATGAAAATTACACTTAATTAAATACACTTATAATATATTGAACAGTATGTAATAAATTCATATTTAAAGTACTTTCGGTTGTTTGTATTCTGAATATGACTGGATTTTTCCTTTAAATGGGTTTAGAGAGGAGATTTTGAAATCTGCTTTGTCCTCTGTCCCACCTCTTCCTCCCGTTACAAAAGGAGCTGAGAACCATGCCTCCTGTACACACGGGTCACGCAGCCGGCATCACTGAATTATCCTATACACAAATAGTTCATTTAGATTTGGATAGTTGATTGTTTCTCCCTCCTGTTTTACCCAAAGCAGGTGTGCCAGCTGACTGAAAAATGTCAGCTTTCTCAGTCAGGCTGCTGCACATACATGCTTACAGACAAATCTGCAATAATATGCATGGGTATCAGATTGAAAAGCTATAGAGGACAGGGAGGGAATATGATGCTATCATAACGATTATCTACCTTACATCAGTCAAATCTAAGCATTTCTTACAATTAACCATTGAGTTTGCTCTATAGCTTTTAAAGTTGTTAGGAGTAAACATTAAAACAATGGAAAAGAATTGGTGAGGGAAACATGGATTTATTGCTGTTGAATACAAAGTATTCAGCACCAACGTTGACAGAAGGATTTCCTGATTATCTGGCTAAGGTCTTAGTGGTATTGTTAAGCCTTTTAAAGGCATGGCCCACAATAAAGCAACTAAACGCATTCTAACTCTAACTTCCTGTGGTTGGTCTGAGTTTACAAGAATCCATTGACTTCAACTCACATGGCAAAGCAATATGTTGCACCATCTCCCTCCTCGCTTTAAATCACAAAAATGGCCTTCCTACTATTAGTGAACACCTTTCTAGACCCTTTGGACCTTGTGGTCAAGCTATGTTTGGGAAGATCTATGTCTTGCAGCCATCTAACTGCTTTTCGTTTTTGTGTTTCTGACCATTTCTGCTCATTTTTAAACCAGAGAGAAGGTCGAGGCCCTCTTTAGTGGAGCTGGAAAGACTCTGGACCTGGACCCATGTACAGGGTAAACTTCCTCTTTTTCTCTTAAAAACAGCCGCCTTCCTCTTTTTTTTTATAAAATGCATTGACTTGTTTTCTTCTACAGATTCCAGAGAAAGCTGATATACCAGACGCTGAGCTGGAAGTGAGTATTTCTTTACCTCCTTTTTTTTTTTTTACCCCTTTATACAATATTTTTTGTAGAAGACCTAACATTTTGTCTTTGTCATCACAGGTTTCCCAAAGGTCTCCATGTGGAAACCTTGGAAACAGAAAAAGTAGGTATTAATTTGCTCTTCCTTTATTTTATCTTTGTGGGTTTAAGTTGCTAACACCGCTGATGGTTTTTGCAGAAGGAGAGATTTATCCAGATCAGTAAAGTCGACGAGGAGGAGAGGAGGAGGAGGGAGCAACAAAAACTGGAGAAGGAGCAGGTGAGTTTGGTCATTCATGTTTATTTTGGTGGGTGGAGTACTAAAGTAACTCAAGTAAAAGTAACACTACTTGAGTCCTTTTTTTTTTTTTTTACTCAAGGAAAAGTAGAAAGTTGTCATTTATATAACTACTTCAGTAGAGATGTGTTGGTTTCAAGCATGCATTGTAACATGTCATTCAATTTCATTCACAAAAGGATATATGGAAATATTTTTATTCGATAAAGTGGCCGTAAATGGAACCATTTAAAAAATGACTATTTTTATTTGTAGTGTTGTCCATAAATAAAAGCCTTAGGCTTTCTTCCAGTGGCACAGGCAGTACACCATAATATTTTCATCTTTGTGCTTTTGTGTTGATCCAGCCATTAGCACACCCACAGACATGGACATCCAGCGAATGTGGCATTTACTGTTTGTGTTCACAGATGCTCTCCAGTTTCATAGATTAACAGCCAGCCTCAAATTTATCGTGTCTTGTTTTCTTTTGCATATTTTCTGCACATGGAGTAGCTCATCAGCTTAGCATCATCGTCACAAATAAGCCAATGTCTTGTGGAAAAACTCTTCCCAAAAGCGCCCTCTTTTCAATATCCTTTCTCTTCATCCTGGTGGCTGTAGATCCTTGCTCCTCCTCATTGGCATGTTGTCTTTTAGAAGGCTTGGTTGCTCCAGCAATATATGGCCACAGTTTGCCTAGTGGTGGAGGAGTTGTTAAATGACAGAGTGTTGAGGGTGTGCCCTCTGTCTCATTGTAGTTCCTCACATAGCAATAGACACGCTTACAAAGGGGAGAATTAGTCAAATTAAAGATGAAAGGACACGACTGAACAGTGGTCCAAACATTTACTTTCTTTGTGATGAATTGTGCATTAGCTCACCAAGTGAAAATTTTGGTTGCATGTGGTGAGTTAATGCCAGAGCAGCGGCAAGTGTTATCAGAGGCTGCGTGTAAACCAGCTGCCCTTGCTGCTCGCAGTGCGTTCGGTTTGTTGTAGTACTTTATAAAATGGTTACTCAACATTAGATTAAACTTTGAAAATTATGCTGAGAAGTTATAAAATCTGTTTACTCTATTAGCTCAATTTGCTTGTGGGAAGAACATGATATTTTTTTAAGATTAGTAATACTTTCACAAGAATACTACTCAAGTAAAAGTAAATGGCATGTCAAGTACAAATTAAGTTATTTAAGTAAATGATGTAATTGACATGAACATAATGCCTGGATGTATGTATCTATTCCTTGTTTCTTGTTACTCCCAAACAGGAGGAGCTCAATAATGCCGTAGGCTTCTCCAGAGTCATCCACGCCATCTCTAAATCTGTGAGTCAATACTTTCTTTTGAATCACCGTTTTGATCAATTTAATATATCTAAGGTATTGTTGGTAAAGGATGTAGAGAGGTCAGTGTATCCTTTCTGTTGAAAGAAGTGGTTTGAGCTGGTTTGTGGTTTTCACACAGGGTAAACTAGTGGTTGGCCACAATATGCTTTTGGATGTCATGCACACAATCCACCAGTTCTACTGTCCACTGCCAGAGGTAAACATTTGGGCTTTTTTTTAATTCCTTATTGTAATGTATTTGCTCTATATTGAATATATGCATCTTGTCCTTTGGCTAATTTATTTCCCTATTCTTCTCTTAAGGACCTTCAAGACTTCAAGGAGGTTACAATGTGTGTTTTTCCAAGGTAAAAAGATCTGGCAAATTTAGCTTTGAAATGAAAAGGAAATGGTTAAAGGTATAGATGATGATTTTTTATTTCTGGGGTGGATCATCTAAATAAGTCATCCTCCTTATTGTCAATAAGTGCCCCGTTGGCTATGTTTTCCTGCGCATGCACACTTTCAGCCTCATATGTGTGGTGTGCTGCGGTTCAAGACGGTCATTGAAGCTCACCTTTCTCATCCTGGTTCTTTAAAAATGGCCGAGGGTCGTATAAGGAAAAAGGTTCTACGAAGTGCATTAGAAGAAAAGAAAGGCCTCAGAAGAGGCAGATATATCCCAGAATGATGGCGTAGGCACCGCGTGGTGGAGTTATGTGAAAAGCGGAGCAAAAAGCAGTGATCAACTGTCCGAACAGTCAGTTAATTGAGTTCACTATAAAGTCAACTATATAGTCCCCGCTGTCTGTTGACACAATAAGCTTGTATGAGCTATGAGAAAAGCACATTTTAAAGGAGGCGTGTACAAGAAGCAATGTGCTCCTGCATGCACAAATTTGTTTTTTTTTTAGTTGAGAGGGCGGCTCTTTTTAAAAACTCCTCCTCAATACCTTTTACCCAACTAACCTAACTGATAAAAAATATGTCTTACTGTTATCAATATTTATCTTATAAACGTGATAAACATAAACATAAGATAAATTTTGTTTTGGCAAGGGCACCGCCATGTTGCAGTACTTCAAGAGGTGACGTCGTATGGTTGGTTGATGCTTCAGCTAGCAATTGAATACATTTGATATACCGACGATGCATCACAACTATAGAACACTTAAGACGTTTGGTTTGATGGGAGATAAAGCTGGTAGGACACTTCAAGTGTCTAAATCTCATTACTTATGCCTTTGAGTCCATTAAGCTTTAGTGATTCGGGCCATAGGAAGGAGAGAAGAGGCAGCTGTGGAGCTGGTGTGTTCTTTTTATCCCTGCTACTCCACAGAACACCGGTTGTGGAGATTATGTAAAACAAAAGACTGAGTCCGGCAGTTAAAAGACCATTTAATAGCCGGCTACAGCCTGAAGCTGCTCCTTGTTAATTTCACTGCCTATAAGCTGGGTTCTACTGACCAGCCAACAAACTGACAGCGGCTCATCAGCATCAATTAGCCGTAATGAGAGGGTGCGAAAACACGCTAAGCAGGCAGAGTGGAGACATGTACAGTTATGTTTGCAGGTATGAAGTAATCACCTAAGCCCCTAACTCCAAACATCCACCACTAGAGCTTAATTATCCAACTTTATCCCTATTCGAGGCTCTTAATGGCACATATTTTTATAACTCAAGCAGCAGCCAACAGGATGAACATCTATGAAGCACAGGGTCCCTTAGCCACAGGCTACCACTGCGGGTCCAAACCACCAGAGAAATGGTCTGTTTCTTATCCCAGTTTCCAAGTCAGGCTATCCTAATGTCCCTGCTCTTCCTTGCCATCCTGTGGGCTTTATTTGTGAAATGTGTTAACCGGTCGCTCCGATGTTTCTGCTCGGAGGTCCTTGCGGAACTGTATGGTCACCTTCAAAAGCATCAGCCTTTCAGAAAGCAATCTAAATGTCCGAAAATTGGTAATGGACAACGCGTCGCGTAGTACGTGCTCCAGATCAACCTCCTGACAGCAGATAGATTCCATAACTGTGGGCATCGGTGGACATCATCCTCACCATGTAGCGTTGCCAGTGGGGCTGAAACAATTAATCGGTTTAAGCGATTATTTCAGTAATGATCAACCAATTTAGTAATTGATTAATCGTTAAATGGAATATAGAGACTGTAAAACATGCCTTCAGCTGACAGAGCAATCCACTTAGAGCAGTAAGTATACCATAATTGTAAAAAAATAAAATAAAATATATATCTTAACATTTTGCATTTAAGATAAAAAAAAAACAACTACTTAAGTTCTAGTTTCAGCTGGTTTAATTTTGTAAAAAGTCTTCTTTAAGGAACCGTTGGCTATCCGATTATTAATTGATTAATCAAAAAACTAATCCACAGATTAATCAATTTGTTAGTTGCAGCGCTAGTTTCCAGCCAAAACACATGTACTAGTGTCAGAAGTCCCACTGTAGCGCTTCCATGTGGAGTTGACTATCTACAACCTGTGACATGCCATCAGTCCGCTCAAGCACTTTGCCACAAGGTAGGGCGGCTCGTCGGGTAGCAAGGATAGTTGAATAGTCTCTTCTTACTACGGATCAAGTCACACGCCGAATGGTCTTATAGGAATAAGCAGTGGGATTTAGGCGTTGAGTGTCCTTTCAGCTTTGTCTTCCATCAAACCAAATGTGTTTTATGGTGGTGATGCATTGCCGGTATATCCAGTGTATTCAACTGGGTCGACCAACCCCATGACCTCCTCGCTTGGGGTACTGCAACATGGCAGCGCCTTTGCCAAAAATTTGTCATATATATGATTCAAGTTAGTTTGGTTAACTGCTTCAATTTCACTTTGACAGATTTCCTCTTAGTCTTTGATGTTTAAATGATTTTTATCTGCTTACAGACTTTTAGACACCAAGCTGATGGCCTCCACTCAGCCATTCAAGGTAAAACGAGCCCCAACCTGAGTAGTGTGTTCTTGTTTGATCAGGTGTGATGATGCAGCTGTCTGAGAAAGATCTGATGTTTTTGACAGGAGCTGATCAATAACACTTCTCTGGCAGAGCTGGAAAAACAAGTGAAAGAGGCTCCATTCAAGCCACCATGCTTTGGTGAGTGACCTCACCAGTAAGGGCTTTAGATGCCAGACACTAACCCTCAAACCCAACCAAAGACGTCTTGTGTGCTGTTCATGGCAGAAACGGCAGAGGGGTTCCCCAGTTATGACACGGCCCAGGAGCAGCTCCACGAGGCGGGATACGATGCCTTCATCACCGGCCTGTGTTTCGTCTCTATGGCCAACCATCTAGGTAACATGGCTGCTTAGATACTCACTATAATGACAGACTTTAGCTGTTGAATAGGTAGAGGGAATGCAACATATAATAACCACTTTGTTTCAGGAGTCTTTGTGGAAGAAAACATGTAAAAAACAAAATGTCATAAACTAAAACATCTACAAAAATAAAGAAATTGCAAAGACCCTCCGGGCTTAGATATTAAGACTCCTAAATACAAATGAAATGGATTTTAAACTGAAAGTGATGATCCAAGTCTGCCTTCAAACTGTCTCCAATTGAACTTTGTCCACCTTCTGTTGTACAGGCTCTTTCCTGACGCCACCGAAAGCTTACATCTCTCCCCGATCTAAACTGATTGAACCTTTTTTTAACAAGTAAGCGTCTTGATTCCTTAATTTTTTTTTTTTAGATAATTTTAGTTGCATCATTTTCTAACTTCATTTTTTGGTTTACACTTTTAGGCTCTTCCTGATGAGGATTATTGACATACCCTACCTCAACATTACAGGACCAGACTGTAAGTCAACTAAATTAAACAAAAAAAAAATTTCCCTTAGTCTCTCCATTTAAAACAAAATAATAAAAAATAAATAAAATATATAATAACTACAACTTATTTTGCAAAGTAAAGAATCGGGCAACAAACAAATCATTTTGTATAAGTGTTTCAGTATTACTTTATTCTTCATCACCTCTGTGGGAGGTGATGAAGAATAAACTAGAAAAGGTCTCCAGGGGAAATGCTGTGCTTATAACTGACTCAGTCTCAGGACAAGGGTTGCACAGTAGGCTCCACCAGAGTTTGAAGTATTAAGCAATCTTTGTTTTTGCCAATTTGGTAAAAACCATTCATCTATTTAGTGTTTTGATGGTTGGGATCCATCTGCCTATGAAGTGTGTAGTTTAAATTTCTTACACACTTAACAGTGTCGCATTTTAAAGGGAACAACACATGTTATAATCTGTAACATTTGCTGCAGTCTGGAGATTGTGTTTTATAAAAATGAGCATCAGATCTCAGCTTGTCAGACAGGATAAAGTTGTTTAATTAGTATAAATACATTTTGAAATCTCAAATACAATTTAGCAAAAACGATCAAATATTTTAAAAATAGAAGCGCAATCATTTGCTGATGGCCTTAATGTCCTTTTAACGCGCCAGAGCACCGTTATTCCACGAAACAGCTTTAACAAAGTTCTACCTTTTAAAAGTTGATGTATAAATGGCTGGATGCTGAGAACATTTTGTAATCTTCACACCATAATTTAGTATCTTAACCGTCCAACAGTGCAACCCAAAAGAGACCACGTCCTGTATGTGACCTTCCCTAAGGAATGGAAGACTAGTGACCTCTACCAGCTCTTCAGTGCCTTTGGTGAGACATTAGAACACACATTTGTTCTGCCTTAAAACAAATCCTACGCTTTTTTTATGCTCCCTGTTGGTTGTTTTATGCACTCAGGTAACATCCAGGTGTCTTGGATCGATGACACCTCAGCCTTTGTCTCTCTAAGTCAGACAGACCAGGTGCAGATCGGTAAGTTTCACACACCAGTCCAAGCCAGACAGGAGAGACAAATGTTTACAAATCGAATTGATGGAACGTCTGTTCTAACAGCTATGAACACCAGCCGCTACGCAGAAAGCTACAAGATCCAGACATATGCAGACTACATCCAGGGTAAACAGCAGGAGAAGGAAAAGCTTGGCCAGTCAGCCAAGAGCTGGGGAGAGGATTGCTGGGTGAGACCTCACTACTCCTCCTCCACTGGATTTGGGTATCCCAGGTAGGTTGCACACTTTTGTTTTTTCTTCTCTCCACGTTATCAGCATTTTATCAGTGGGTTTTCTTTCTTGCTCTGAGCTTTGGATGCAGTGTGGCAGATTTTTTTTCAAATGTTTTCCAGGAGGAAACGCAGCATCAGTCCAATTCAGGGAGAGCAGGGAGGTGAAGGCGCTCCCACCTGCGACGGCTGGAACAACTACTCTTTCCCTGATGGCACTGGAAGCAAAAAGATGAAATTTGAAGGTCTGTAGATTATGCATATATTAATATTGGCATGGCAGACTTTTATTCAACATATTGCTGTATAATTATTCCTAATCAATCATTGACTGCCCTTTAGATCTTGGTGGAAAGGCAAATGTTGAAGCTGTGGAGAGCAAGACCTCAGAAGGCTGGCTAAAGATGACGTAAGTGAAAACCTATCTTCTGTTCAGTTTGCTCTCTGATGTGCTTTATCCTTTGTTTGTAACTGTCCTCTGCAGAGAGTCATCGTATTCAGCCGAATCAAGTCCTGTCCCAGATACCAAAAGTCCGGAGGGCACAGAACCAGGTAGCTGTGCTGATGGGACAGCCACTTGGCATCAAACTCCAACCGTTCAAGGAAGGAAAGGTCAAAAAAGCAAGAAAAAGAAGTCAGATGGTGTGTTTTTGGTTAGCATAGTTTCATAAAGGGCTCAGTGTTAACTGTTGGGGGGGGTATGAATTATATATTGAGAAATAATGAATAGGAACATTTTTCATTGACTATTTGTTTTCACACATTAGTTTTCATATCAATAGGATCACCTCACAGCACAAAATGAAATGTAAACTGAATTTAGGATAAATTATAAATTGATTCTTTTTGCTGCTTCACAAAAACTAATAAGCCAGAATGTCTTGAATGATAAAAAGTAGTAAAGTAAAAATGAACTGAAATCACATCTGTTCAGAACCAAATCTATCTATTCCTGAGTTTCAGCTCTGTCATAAAAACTATAAATTAATCCTGAGATTCATGACCTGGGTTTGCTTTAGATGTAAAACAGAAAGTAGTTGTAGTAAAACCCAAACAGGTAAAATTTTGTGCTGTAATATTAAAGTTATGAATGTGAAACAGTTTTTAAAGCTGGATGAAACCTGTAATCTAAAATGTAATAGAACATGTAGTCTATACTAATTAATAGTAATAAAGTGTAGTTTACTATATGTAGTATTCTGAAATTTGTTTTGTTGAAAAGCATAAAGTTTGACTCTGAACCTTGTGGGAATCCTGAAGTCATGTGACATGTTAATGAAGTAGAAGCACTTGAAAATGTTTCCCTTTTCTTTCCAGCGTCTGAATCTACAACCTCCCTGTTCGAAGTCCCAGAAGTCTGGTGAAACAGCGAGGTCGCTGTCCCGCCCTGGGCTCTCCTTCAGGATCATAAAGCACAGACTGCAGCACGCCCCAACTTCATGCTCTCATACAGCACTAATGGATAAAGACTCCAAAGCTACCAGCCAAGACATTTAAACACGTTTGAAAGAGAAAACACAAGCCATAACAGCAGCTGCCATATTCTGATCTATCAGAGGAGCAGGCACCTCCTCATACAGATGTATATCTCAAAAAATATATTTAAACTGCAGATTATTCAATATGTTCAGACTGGAATCTGCCTCAACAGCCATTTGGTCTTTGAATGCATTCATACATTTTATTAATGTCTCTAATCAGTCTTATATTTTTGGGTGAGTGAGTTTGTATGTGTGAGAGAGAGATGTCTGTTTTCTTAGTGTTTGTATTTCTGTGAATTTGTTTTCTTAGGAGATAAAAATGCCATTCAATAACTTCCATTCTTTGTTAGGGTTATTTACATACAAGAGTTTTAACACAGTCTGCTTTTGTTTATTTTCTTCCCATTTTATGAAAATTGTCTAGTTTCATTTTTATCAGACAAATGTGAGCTTTTCAATGATGTGATATTTATTGTCAGTGGCATTTTTCACCCTTCATAAAAGGTGCTTGCTTCGTTTTGTACAGAACTGTTTTTCATTTGTGTTCAACGTTTTGTAACTGTGTCAACCTGCAACGATGTCAGAGTATGCCGTCAGCACAAAAAGATGTAAAATTTAAGACAGTTTTGTATGAGTATAAAAATCCTTACATTTCCTTTTAAAAGAGGAAAAATTAAAGAATGTTTCTTAGTAATTTGTCTCTTGGACTTCTTTAGCCTTGGAACTTGAACAAAGTTTTATTTTTTTAAACATTAAATGTTCATAATTAAAATAACTCTTCAAAATGATTTTTTTTTTTATTAGAGAAAAATAAAAGCAATTTTAAATAACATTTTTGGTAAAAACTTTTTACCTTAAAAAGAAAAAGAATTCCACTTAATTTAATCTCAAAAACCTAATATTAAAACAAGCGAACACATCTGGCAAGACAGCACTGTGGCAAATTAAACAGTCCCTGTTTTGGGGAAAAAACCACTTTGGACCAGCAGGTTTTTTTTATTATTATTTGAGAATAAAGTCAAATTGAAGTTATAAAATTATAAGAAAAGTAGTGTTGCACCGATACTACACCAAAATTATGGTATTGGCGAGTACTAACAAATAGGGCACAGATACCATTTTGAGAGTGACAAAGCCATGATGGCAATTATTTTATATCCAAGTAGTATGCAGTTCTTCATATATACACATCAATTTACAACGGATGGTATCGGCCGATACTGCACAGCCAGGTTGGGGGGCCAAAAAAATGGCATCAGCACAACACTGATAAAAAGTCCCATCATTACAAGAATAAAGTCCTAAAGTGGACTCGGGTTGCTGTCTGTTGTGCTGGTCGGAGCTTGAAGCTTTCTTTCTGAAATGGGTTGTGGTATGATTCTCCTATTACTTTATTCTCATAAAAAAAATCAAATAAAAATCTCTAGCCTGAACCTAATACTCCGTAGATTGAGAAGTCATGAAGTTATTTGTAAAGACAAGGAAACCTTCACCCCTCTTGACAAAAATCCTACATCAGGGAACCATATTTTATTTTTATTTTTTTAGCTCTAGTGACCTTTATTTGAAAGTGAGCCAAATGTATGTCTAATCGGGTAAATGTCATACCTGAGTTGGCTGACAACCTTTAGCTTAGTTAATTTTGGTGTTTAATTGGATCTCAGACTTAAATAAAGTGGCCCCCTGGGTCACATGACTCATTCACAATAGGCCAGTAGATCCATATATTGACCTAAGAAAAACTTTTACTATATCTCAAATTGAGCTAATAATTGGGTCAAAAGTTACTGTAGCTTTAACTTAAAAAACAAACAAAACAAAAAAGATGGAAATAAACTTAAAGGTGATGTGATGTCAGTTTTAACATCTCCTGGTGGTTATTTATTCTCTGATGAGCTCTGATAGGTTGATGTAAATGTGTCCTGATAAATATGTAAAGGAGGGTCCTGCCCTCACAGAGAAAGTCTGCAGATATCACTCGGTGATTCAGGTTATCTCCTGGATTGATTCTCCATTTTGACTTCCAGAAAACATAAACCAGGATGATCAGAACTTGTGCTGCTAAAAGAAGAAAAGAAAGAGGGTTAGCAATATTTAACATTTTAAAATAAAACGATACCAGGCACTGTAGAATGTGTTTTGTTTTTTTTTAACCTGGTGTCCTCGAGCAGCAGCACCACAGACATGGTCCCGTCTGGTAGGGAGCGGAAAACTTTACTCAGCCGGCGGTCCAGCTTCTTCAGGAGACTTGACTCCTGGTCCTACATGGGAGATAAATTGGAGCCTTGAAGATGTGCTGAACACGCTACATAACTGCACCAATACAAAGAAATACACCTGGCAGTGATTAACTATGTAGGTGCCCCAGATTGGATTCAATCCTCCTGAGTCTGAGCTACCACAGCTGGAATCCTGATGGGTCTACAAAAAAAAGCTGGACTGATTAAAGGGTGTTGTTTGACTAAGGTTTAACATGAAACTACTGCATTTATGAGAAAAAAAAGTGCATAAATGTTTGAAATTGGGAGAACCAGGAACAAGGAAACATTCCTAAGCTGTCATTCTCAGATTAAACTTCTGTGTGTGTGTGTGTCTACTTTTAAGGGTAGGCTTAAAACCTTCCTTTTGATAAAGCTTTATAGTTAGAGTGGCTCAGGTTATCCTAAGCTATCTCTATAGTAATGCTGCTATAGGCTTAGATTGCTGGAGGACATAGGGGCACATTTTCATGAATCTGCTTCATTCTATCTCTATTCTCCCACTCTGTGGAATTTGTTAGTTCAATCTTTAATGTTATGGTCTCTTTGCTTTTACTCATAGTAGCTTCATTTGATCTGTTCCTGTTTGGCTGTGACACCATCCTGGAGAGAAATATCCTTTGTTTATAGATGTTGGAGCTTGTCTGTTTTTCAGTATAGTCCTATTTCTCTGATTGTGACTAACTGGATGCACCTGTGGAGCTGGTTAACTGTTGCTTTTGTATCTCTGCTTCTTTCTGTATGTCTGTTTCTGTCTCCTTGAACCCTAGTCAGCCTCGGCAGATGGCCGCTCACAGTGAGCCTGGTTCTTCTGGAGGTTTCTTCCTGTTAAAAGGGAGTTTTTCCTCTCCACTGTCACTACAAGCATGTTTAGTGTGAGGGATTGCATTTGAGTCAATGAGTCGATGCAATCAACTGGTTTTCCTTAGATAGAAAACTCTGAATCAATTTGACTGTATGATGTGGTTGAACTGTAAAGAGCCTTGAGATGACATTGTTGTGAATTGGTGCTATAGAAATAAACTGAATGTTCACTCCGACACAATCCGGTCTGTACCTGAAAACCACCATCAAAAAAGTCCTCCACTGTCTCCTCTTCTTCCTGCTCTGGTTTACTCTCGGTCATCAGGCCAATCCATGACAGCAGGTGGGGTGGAGTTATGGACGGCCATACTAGATAACTGTCCTCCACAAGACGCCCAGAGGAGGCGAGCGCAGCGTGTTTCCCCTCAGCATCTTCAAACTCTGTCAATCAGGTGGATCAGGTTGTTAACTTTCTCCTGATCTCCATATGTTCACACTAAGAAACACAGAGTTTACTCACCTATGTATGCATGAAATGCACGTTTTGCAATTTTAGCAGGCAGGCTGATGCTCCTTATTGAACCAAACATACTGAATGTCTCTCTGACACTCTCCTCACTCAGTTCAGGTTTGGCTGAGTGAGAATGTTTACCGTTTATTTGAGCGGTTTGTGGCAAGCCATTCATCGGTCTACCAGGTGGTAAAACCGAAGAATTAGCATCTGAAAGACATCTGTTAAGCTTTGCAGAAATGTTGAGCCCCTGAGCCACATCATGTCTCAGTTTAACAACATAAAGACGATTGGTATTAAGTTTCTCACTCATTAAAGTCTCAAGATTCAGATCTAAGTCCAGCATTGATTTGTTTACAGGCCTCTGCACCTGAAAAAAAAAAGGCAAGAAATTTATCTATTTGTGAATGAATACAGAAGCTTTTGGATGGCTGCAGTCGTAAGAGAAGTTCATTTAGAATAAGCTTTACTGGCAGAGAATAAACAGACATTACCGGTAGGTTTAAATCTAGAAACTTCAGAGGAAGAAGAAGAAGGAGGTCCCACCTTGATGGTCTGACCCAGCACACTGAGTCCATTCAGCACTTTTAAAGCTAGCACCGCTCCTTCCAGCATCCGAAACTCCACCTTTGCATGGTTCTGGAGAATACAAATGGTAAAAACAAGAAGGTGAGGTGATCCTAAACAGTTTCAGAGACGGTGGAAGATTTTATGATGCAACAAGAACCACATTGCTGCAGGAGAATAACAATTATACTAAAATATTAACCTTTAAATTTCTTTATTTGAGAAAATCTTAATTTTACCAGAAAAATCACTCTGCCCCTGATGTTCCCTACCCTACCTGCCAATCAAACGTTTGGTTTTCTGCTCCAGTATTTCACAAGGTTAGAGGAAACAGACAGATTATTCTCCTGTCAAGTCACGCTTTAGTCTCTTCTGCTCAGAGCGATTGAGTTTGCAGTGGAAGAGGAAGATTTTCTTTTTATCTTTCTTCCTGTTACTTTGAATGCACTTTTTCTCATCAAATCGTTTGTATTTTTTATCAGGTTATGTGGGCACGTTTTTCCTTTTTCCTATTTTGTGGATTGTGTTTATTTGTAGAAGTTTCTATTTCTTTCTACTATATATATATATATATATATATATATATATATATATATATATATATATATATATATATAAAATGAATACAGAAATAAATAAAATCCTTTTGTCATTTAAATATTGTTTGTGTATTAATGTTGGCTATATCCTGTTTAAATGTGACTTGTTTTATATGTGAGATGTAATAAATATTATAAATTCTTCCTTGTTTTGCCTTATTGCTGCTAATATGCTTCAAGTTCCCCATTGTTAAAGGATTCTAATTATTCCTTGTTTGTAAAAGATTTATAACAAAATCTAAGTCTAGAAATTACTTAAAAGTATAGTGGAGGGTGTTCTTTTTCTGTGTGGATCATCAAAATAAGTGCTCCTCCTAATTGTCAATCATTCTGGTGATATGTTTACGTAAGGCCGTCCTACGTGCTCGTCCCCATTTTCACTTATCAGTGGTGAGACTGGCATAGTGGAAAATTTGCAAATCTTATTTTGGAAAGTAAGCTTGTAAGAATGATGCAAACAGCAACTTTTAAACCGAGCATGCATGAGGAGAAATGGGCTCCTGCTTGCTCTCACACACATTTAATAGGTGTTCCCTCTTGGGAACGCCTATACAAATTCTCAAAAATCCTCCACTATACCTTTAACATTACATTTTTATATTTGTGATTGTAGCAGAGAAAATACGCCTTCACAACCAAACATAGATAACGTCTGATGGTTTTCACCCAGTGAGATTAAAGGACATTTGTTTACTTCCTGTTAGCTGGTGGACTAATATGGATCCTCATCTTTTATTTTAACATCACAGCTTTTAACTGTTGCTATGGGGAGTTTAGGTAAGAAGCTATTTTCTTGCAGCCAGTTCCTGAATGGAGAAAAATATACATGTGCATTAACTTTGATATTCTCTTATCTGTCCCATTTTGAGGAGTAACCAAGATATTTAGGTCAGAAATGATGGAACTAGGAAAAAAGATAAATGATATGTGTTTCCATTTTATGGAAATGTTTGAGTCTTGTTTGAGATTTCAATAATTTTGTTGCATACTATTTTATTTAAAACAATTATTCCTCAAAGCATTTTTGTCTGCTCTGCTACATGAAAAAAGCTGGATTTTTCTTTTTTTGTGTGACACAATTTTTGCAGTAAAGGGTTTGTTTATTTTATTCATCTTTAGCAGCAGGGTCATTTAATTTAAATGTTACATGATGAAAATGAAACCAACCCTGACACTTGTGCTCAACATTTGGACTCTCCGAACCGGCCCGCAGCAAGAAAACATCCGCTTGACATCTCTTTTGGAGAAACCTGCAGGGAACGGCCCAGCAAACACTGCACACATCTCTCTAAGGTTTGCACACATCTGCAGGTTAAAACATGTCAAATGTTACACATTTCCCACCTTTTTCCCCAACAATAACATCCATATAACACTTTAAAAACTCACATTGTTATACAGCTGCGGCTGATTAGCTGAGCGTCTTTTCAGATAATTGTAAAAGGAGGACAACTGAACGACGGAGAGGAAAGGGTGCTTGGTCTGCTTTCTGAAAGATGACACTATCTGCAAAAGGAAGAAATAAAGAAAATAGAATTCAGAGTGACTGATAAAATGATGGTCTGCAGCAATGTGAAACTTGCTCAGAAAACAAGGACATGTCTAAATAACAGACAGCAGCTATACACAATAAAGGAGATGATGGTGGCTCTTCTGACATTAAAATTCAGGCAACTTTTCGAATTCTCACCTCTTTGTCAGAGCTGTACCAGCACTGATGAGACAGATCCAGAGCGACGTCAGCTCGCTTTCCGAAATATGCCGGGGAGCGGCCGGTTGTCTGCAAAATGTCTGCAAACCTGTGAGAAGAGTTCGAGAAAGCTGAAGAAAAAACCTGAGGTGAAGAAAGCTACAGAGATGAGCCAAATGTTTTTCATTTGTCCTTTTTTATTGATACAGAAAGAGGAACAGCTCTGAAATGGTTCTTCCTCTGGCGTCAGCATACAGAGATTGGTTTCTACCAGCTGTTAATCAGATGGTCGGTCTAGAGCTACTAAATGTAGGATATTTGTGTTAAAACTAAACCTGTTTGATTCATAGTAACTTGGTATGCCCTGCTGCAGGATTTTAATGCAAAATTACATGAAATCAATATCACCTCATCAAAACTTTAATACAACATCAATTGATATTTTCCCACATTTTTGAGAATCTTAAAGGTTTTCTTGTTTTTCTGTTCATCTTCTGCTGAGAAATCCAGCTGATAGAGAGGATAGGCCGCTATCTGCCATTTTTGAAGCATTTCCTAACAAACTGTAAAGACCATTGGTAGCTGGAGCTTAGTGAGAGAAGAAGAGCATGATACAGGGTGTGTCCTGACCAGCTGCTGCTCTGTCTGGTTAGGAGCCTTCAAAGCCCACATTATTTATAAAGCACTTTAAGACAGCCCTGACCAAAGTGCTGAAAAACAAGAATGATTCAAATAGATCAGCAAATTAATTTTAAACAAATAGTAGAAATAGAATTCAAGTAAAAGAGTTTGTACTGTCTTCTCTGTTTGCTACAGACAGACGCAGTGGGTTCATTAACTTTGTTTCTTTATTTAAACATTTGATTCTGTTAAAAAACCTAATATGTCTCAATGTTACACGATGTTAGACTCAATTGTGCACATAAATGTAGCACAAAAGTTGAGACATTAGTATTTCTTTATAGCAACAATGCCTCTTGAGAGCAAGTCTTATATTGTTGTTGGTTTCCTTTTAAATTGTGCTACAATTGCAAGGAAAATGCATTTCAGGGTAAAGCAGCAGTTCTACAATGATGAACACCTTTTTGCAGCGGCAGTGTGCTGGTGTTCCTCACTGGGATATATATATATATATATATATATATATATATATATATATATATATATATATATATATATATATATATGATGGGCCGGCCTGCAGAACTGAACTGACACATATACTGTCGAAGAGTAAGCTGCCATCCCACAGCACTGACAGTTGTGACCGTTCTGAGGACCCTTTTGGTTTAATAAATGTTAAAAGACCCAGAATTCTTAATTTTTTTAACTTAATACCACCATTGTAATAACAAAAAGCAAAACAAGAAACATGAGAAAACAGCAGAAAAGGCTGTTTGGCAAAGACCTACAAACTAAACTCTGCTGCCTGACCCCTGAACACGTTTTCCTTCCAAATGGGACACAATGTAGAGGGGAAAACAACAGGGTTTCCGACTGTAAAAAATATTTTCTGCATTGCTATCACAAAAAAGAAAGAAATGGCCTTACTTTTTTAGCCAAGTGTACTTTAAGAATTAAAAAAGTATAAATTCTAAAACAATTGAAGTTAATCTTTTGCATTTAAAAAAATTAATGCTTGTTATCAAAAACACCAAAAGGTTTAAAAGTACTAAAAGATAATTTTCAAAGAACAATAATCTATTTAAAATAAACTTTATCAAATCAAATAGAAAGGCATTCTGATAGGAACGTAATAAGACACATTCAGTTATCATCGCGCTACTCCTGCTTAAATCAGGAAACAGTCCTTTGAAACACTTTTTAAAATTTTTTTTTTGTCCATGGCTAAAAACTGTATAAAATATGTATCTTTTGTTTCTTTTTTCATTTCCATGCATGTTCTACCTAAAGCCAGACACAGATCTACCTATTTCAGGTTTTGTATTGCGTTTTCAGCCTTTGTGAGAGAAAGGAGGGCAGTAAAGTTTACCTGTAGCTTGGTGCAGGTGTGCTTTTAGGAGACTCCTCCTTTAGTTTGTATCCCCACAGCTCCTCCAGATGAAGCTCCACCACCTGGAGGTGAGCAGAAAGGGAATAACATGTTTAACGTGTGTAAGAGTGCGGGTCTATGCACTTTCATCAGGGGACCCGTTACCTGACGGGGTCCTGCTTTGATGAAGTACTGGGCTAGCTCCAGTGCTGCCACAGCGTCCTCAGTGGGATTATGACCGCTCCTTTCCTCGCTTTGGATCTGCCTCCTGTGATGTGAGTGAAAGAATAAATAAATCCCGACTTTGTGTGGCAGAAACTCAGAGGCGGTAAACAGGAACTCACTTCAGCACCACCTCAGCCAGAACCTTTAGCTTAAACTTCTGTCCAAATTCTCTCCTGTACAGCAGAGAGGTATCAATCACATGTTGATGGATGAGCTGATGTTGGGGAAAAAAGATGAAATGGTTTTAAAGCCACAATTTTTATGAATGTTTTGTGTCAATCATGAAATAAATCCTCCAAAAATATCTATATAAAGAAATTAAATATAATTACGGTGAATCTTTGAAAAGAAATATATCTACCTCCTATTATAGTGACTGCATTGCTCTATTTGGGCTCATTTATTTAACACATCAGTCCACATGGGGGGTTGAGAGGAAAGAAACATAGTCTTAAAAGATAAATAAGGTTGTAGACTTTGATGATTAAGATAAAAAAAAATAAATTAGTTTTAAAGCACCATATTGCTCCTTTTTTTTCATTTAAATTCTGTAGTGAAAGGACGAACAAGAAGCCTAAAATCTCAGTGACTTACTTTCAGTGCGACGAGATCATTGTTGAGGGAATGGCCCACCACTACTGCATTGTCCGGTAACAGCGTCCTGATCTTAGCCTGAACGTCCCGTAAGGTGGTCGTTACCGGCCTCAACATGGCTGCTGTGATACCTGAGAACCTGAGAGGGTAAACAAAATCTAATTCCACCTGCAATATAAACAGTTCAGAGTGTTTGTGGATAGATGTGTGCGTCTTACTGTGTAAGGTAGTTGAGAACACGGTTTTGAGGTTTCACCAGATCATCCAGCACACAATTACCATCACTGTCCACCAGGGAAACGCGAGCCAGCTCATATCCTTTCTCTGTCAGACACTGAAACATGAACATGATGGATGGATGGATGGATGGATGGATGGATGGATGGATGGATGGATGGATGGATGGATGGATGGATGGATGGATGGATGGATGGATGGAT